GGTATCTAATCTGTGTTTTATTGGAAAAAACGATGGTCAAAATTAACCATCAGAAAGCATGTGCGTCATTTAACTGTGGACAGGAGAGTACCGTCATGCAATTATGGACAGGGGAGTACTAACATTACATGAATGTGTTAAGTTCAATTACAATGGATTTAATTTAGATCTAAATTGCTATGTTACAAAATCATTACTCAATCTGCCAAGATATATAGAAGGCATGCATAGTTTAACCGTGCAAATTCAAGTTCTGCTGTAAGCATCTCTTGACATATTTTGTTTCCTATACAAAATCGCAATCATAGGAATGTTACATACCCAGCAGTATCAAATGTGCCACACAACCAATACTGCACACAACTCCCACATTACTGGATTAAATAATTTGTCGGTGAACCAATACGAAAAAGAGGAAATCCATCGGAAATTTTGAACCCCTACATTTTAATTAGCATTAAAAGGTAAACACAAAATCCATATATGCCATTGTACTTCTAAGTACTATATGTTCCCAACTGAATACCTTGATATTTTTTCAACTTGGTTAAAATGACTACAACGATGACCCATACTCTCTCGTTCTTTCAGGGGGGATGAAATGGTCGAGCTATCCTCTAACGGTGCCGCCTCCATTGGCACTGCAAATACGCGTCACTCGTAGTGCCTGCCTACCTCCATTCTGACCGCAAATGTTGTGCCAGCGCTCCAGGGACAAGGATTATATTCCAGTCGAATGTGGAGGCTTATGAAGGACTATTGAAGCAATAGTGATGGATAAAAGATAAGAAATGATGTACTGCATGCCAAACGAGTGATAAGATAGAAACAGAAACTATTATGTACACTAAAATGGGCCAGGGCTTGGGTCCAATCAGGTATCCATATAAACAGATTATAATGAGGACTAGTGTCTCTAACACGCAAAATGGACTATAGCACCCATTTGTCCAAAAGTGGGATGTTTCAATATCCACCATCAATTCTCTAGGAAGTGTATGGAAATGAGGGTCACTTATTTAACTTTGTCCTACAACTTCGGTCTTAATTATCCTTCTTATGAGCTCAAAATTTTCATGGCCAATAGCCGAAACATGATTTAGCCTGTGCTCAACAGAAATTTCTATAACAATTAACAACTGCTTAAAATATGTTAAAACGTGCCAAAACATTCTCTATAAGGCGTCAGCCACAAGAGGAGCATCAAATGAATCACACAATTATCAGCATCCACTAGCTATACCATGCAATTCCATGAGTGACTATTTGAAGTACCTCTCGTGTGTGAGATGCTCTCGAAGCTTGCTGATGATGTCTTGCACCTCTTGCACCTCCTGAGTGCAGCAATGCTCTGTTCTCTTGAGCTTTGATTGTAGCCCAGTCAAGAGCCTTGCCATGTTTGGTCTCTGGGAAACCGACACAAATGCCTTACAATTGAATTGTCCACCAATCTTATCATACACCTGTTTGGCAAGTGTGGTTTTACCAAGACCTCCGAATCCCACAATAGAGACCACCTTGAGTTCTTGCTCACTATCTGTCAGCCAACGGACAAGCTCTTCCCTTGGGCCATCAATACCCACAAGGCAGGCTGCCTCTCTGTAGAGTGCCGGCATCCGAGGATCGACAGCCACAAGGTCAGAGCTAGAGTTACTGCTATCATCACGCTTGTACCTTTTGCGTCGATGATTCGTCTCTATGGCACGATCCTTGAGCTCTTGAATCTGGCTTGTAAACTGATAACGCACCCACAGGTTCTTGAGAAATTGAGTGACCTTCTCAATAAAACCTGCGTTGGCATTGACACTTCTAAGATTGAGAATGAAGTCATCAATGCAATCCTCCATGTCGGGGGCCATATCGCTGACATGGCCCTGCCAGTCCTTCGTCGAGGGATCGAGTTCATCCCTTGGCCCCAGCTCCTCGAGGCGAGCTTTCATGGCGCTGAGCTCATCCTCGAGGAACTGCACATGATGCTCCACCCCTTTGAGCTTCTGACACTCGTCGCCCAGTAGGTCGGCGAGTTTGCCGAGGAGGTTGTTGACGATTTCTGACATGTCGATCTTTGTCTCTCGCTTCTCTCTTGGCTGACTAGCTACGCTTGTGTGCTGCGACCGCGAGTAAGCGTGGCGGCGCTGGCGCACAGGGAGCGACGGATCTGCGGCCGGAGGTGGATTGAGCGGTGGTGGGGCAGGACGGGAGCGCGGGATTGAGAATGTGGTGGCGGAGGAGAGTAGATGTGAATATGTGATGGGGATTTGGGGCCTCCGAGAGGGAAGATAAATAGTGAAGAGTGGAGAGTGGAGTCAAGGTGATGCCGCGTTTCCGCGTCTGGGACAGGGAAATGGGAAGGAAACTCACGTCACTTTGCTATAGTTGTGT